ACTAGACTCTTCATTTATTTAATGAATTGTAAAAATGTAATTGTGGACATATGACACATTTAGGCAATTGGAGCTCAAATCAATGAGGAAATTCAAGGATAAGCATGATCCAGAATAACAGCCAAAATTTTAGAAGCATACTTTGACAAAGTGACTAGACAACTAACATTTCAAATTGGACTCAGCATACCTTACACTTCACTGGATCGTGCCAGTTCTCTCCACAGTTGAAGCTGTCAACAAATGGAAAGCACATGAGCATTCTTTAACCCATGACAAAGAGCGAACAAATAAAACTCTATCTCTTTGTGATAAAAATCTACACAGCTCTGTATTGTACCCAAATATTCAGATGTTATTAGAGCTGTACCCAATCAGCAGCAGCTCCCTGAGTTTCTAAACTAACATAATCTTATTGTGTACCACTTGTGATTAGTTTGTTAGCTTTTTGCATCAGTTTTGAACAAATTGAGAGCTACTGAGATTCTCATGGTAAGAGACAACTATTTTACAGAGAAAAATATTTTATAGCTATTTTAACAGACTCCTATACAGAAATTTGACTCCACTGAAGAAAAGAGCTTTCAACTGACTTGTGCATTCTGAGTTTGAAGAGAAACAAAAGACTGAGTGACTAAAAAGATATCCTTTATCGCTCTTTCCCCTCTCTTTTGCAGTAGGATGTTCGTTTATCCCCAGTTATCCATTCATGAGCTTTAGATTTGAATGATCCATTCAAATCAATAGCTCATGACCATTTACAATTTAGTATATTTAATTTTTTGCTTAGTTATTTTACAACAAAGCATTATTTAGTACATTTTATTTAGTAATATTAAATTTGATCAGAATACCTAATCGTTTCATTAACCATTTAGTACCACTTAGAGTAAATTTTATTTATTTTTTGCTTAGTTTTACTACATTTGAGCAGAATATTTTAATGTTTCAACAAAGGACCATTTACATAATTAAATCATTTAGTACATTTCATTTGATAACTTTATCGCATAGTTATATTATGTTTGAGCAGAATATTTTAATGTTTCAACAAAGGACCATTTACATAAATAAACCATTCAGAACATTTTATTTTGAAATCTATTTATTTAGTTATATCACAATGAGCTAAATATTTTATTGTTTCAACAAAAAAAATTACATTAAAAAGAACATTTAGTACATTTCATGCAGCCTTTTTTTTTTTGCTTCGTCATAATGAATTTGAGCACAATATTTTATTTTTTGAACAAAGTTTTAGTTATTATTTTAGTTATGGAATTACTGAGTTGTTAAAAAATGCACATTGATATTAATCCGGTGAACTCCTGTTCTTTTCATATTCTTCTGGAATAGGCCCAAGACATTCTAAACATAAGAACACATCTTCAACTTACATGAAATTTATTGTAATTTCTATGCAGTCCAGACAGAAGTAGTTTAATGCTTATTTTGCTTTCTGTTATTCCCAGTCATGTTCTAAAAGCTTAACATGTCATTAGCATTGCCTTACCAAAACTGCCGACCACACTTGCAGCGAACAGGTTTAGCATCTGGGTATTGTACTTTGACAACATGATGACAGTCGGGAGCTGGACACCATTTTAAAAGTCGGTTACACTGGAGAGGAAGAGACCAATTTTATCATAACAGAATTCTTACAAGAGTGAAAAACTTGGGATCAACCACAAAAATTAATTAAATATTACCTCTACAAAACTATTGGTTATTAAATGTTGATACTTCAACTTCACTTTCGAATCCGTAATCAGTCTCCTATGGAAAGAACAGAGATTTTATATTTAGATTTCAAGCCGTGTACCTGCATCACTAAAGCTGCAGGGAGATCATATGTAGGTTAAGACAACTGTGTAAATCCACACTAATCTAAATGAAGCGACAGGTGTCGTGTTGTGGCTCGTGCATCCAGTGTGACTGAAAGAGTGCCCTATTTCTGCATCTGGCTAGTTATACACTCATTTGGCTCGCTGAGGATTTAGTTGGGTTTAATTAATGATTGCAAAGGGGTTTAATATAGTCGCAATATTGATTCATGAATTTTTCAAATCAATTCGTAAATGAGCACTAATCTTTGAGCGAAAAACAATCTTTAAACTGGAAAAAGTATTTGTTAATACAAACTATTTGACAATTCTGAACATTAACATTACAGACCAAACTGGGTGTGCTACGATAATATGTTAACGACTGAAAAACGACTGAAAACAGTTAACATGGTAGCACACCACTTGTTAACAACACACACAACTTGTTCCGCTTGTGGACAAGAAAAGTAGGAAACATGGAACATATCAAAAAGAAAATTGAAGTGAACCTTTAATGTATTACAAATTTGGCATTACAAAGACTTTTATTTTGGAAGCGTCAGCCTTTTTTGCTATTCTGCCTGGCCATTTTTTTTAGAAATTCCCCAAGTCAGCTTTTAATGTTCGCAGTTGAATGTTACACTAATTTAGTTTATCTCAAACACTTACATGACCGTGCTGTCATCAACCAGAATATCACAGCTATGAGCGGGGCATGAAATAGTCTGTAATGGAAACAAACAATTTTGTTAAATATTTTCAGACATAGCTACATCAAGGCTAAAATTTGATGAATACAATGAATTGAGACTGATGGATAAATAAGGTAATACAGTGTTAGAACTGAGTGTTTAACTTCATTTACAATTAAAATTGGGAAGGCTGGAATACCTTTCTTAAATTTGTAGCATGTAATCAAGGCCCAGGGCGGCACGGTGGCCTTTCAGTTAGAAGGTTGTTGGTTCGAGGCTCACCAGTGACCTTCCTGGAAGGAGTTTGCATGTTCTCCCTGTGCTTGCGTGGGTTTCCTCCGGGTACTCCGGTTTCCCCCACAATCCCAAAAACATGCAGTTAGGTTAATGAATAATCTAAAGTCCCCTTAGATGTGAATGTGTGGAGTAAATGTTGCCCTGCGATGGACTGGCGACCTGTCCAGGGTGTACCACCACCTCTCGCCCAATGTGTACCAGCCGACCCCCTGACCCCAAAAAGGGAATATAAGCAGGTTGGAAAAAAAATGAATGAAATCAAGGCCCATGGGCTCATGAGGTTCTTTACTGGTTTCCAACCGTTCTCATTGTCACTGATAAGATAAAGATATGACACTCTCTTTTCCTAAGACATTTGGAAATTAACAGGGGGTCAAATTCTTATTTCACTTTTATCAGAGCCGATCTGTCTGAAATGAACCTACAATTATATTTATGGTTTGATTGCTTCTTAGGTTAATGAAATGAAAATTCTTTGGTTGTCTCAAATAGAAGATTTTAAAACAATTGCTGCTTGTACCAGGTACTATAAGGCCAACAAAGGAATGCACCAAGGGACAAAATTGTCTTCATAGAAAACTTCAACTGATTGAAGCCTCATTTAATGAATTGTTTACATCTTTTATATTTTAAAAACTCAAAATAAAAAACAATCCAGAATGAAGAAAATAACCTCAGATTTTTACAGTGGTGGTCACTTCTTAATATGACATTAGAAATGGAGCAGGGACACTTAACACTTTTACTTAAAAATAAATGTAATAATTAAAGTAACTATGGCACTAACACTTAGAGAACTGTTATGAAGACTTCATTCTGAAATATATACCTGCCCCATTCCTTCCTCTATGATTTTGGTGGTTAGGTAATCTCCCCAGCACTGCATGCAGAACTTGTGCCCACATTCCAGACCAGTGAAGTACTGCAAAAGGAAAAAACGGCATAAATCCATGTTTAAATGACTTAATTATAGCAAATTCATGTTGAAACAAGTCATGTTCTTCATCAAAGCTGGATTTTGCAAAAGCAGCATTTCTCCTTTCTTTTCTTCCATTTTTATTTCCAGGCAATGGTGATGCATGGCACCAAGTTAAGCTAAAGGGCTTAGGATCTATGCTTTTCTATAAATTTATCATAGTATAAGTGTAAAAGTATAAATGTATTTGAAACATCATATGGTTTTCATCGTTTTAACACATTTTAAAAGTTTTGACAAAATAAAACATGTTTCTAACAGTAATAAATAAAATGGGATTGTATTTGGTACTATGATAATTTGACAAATATCCCCAGGTACTGGTAATTGACGGTGTGTTAACCGTCAATACTACACCTTGTATACATTACTTGCACATACTGATGACCGACTGTATTTTCCCCCAATATTGATTTATTTGATGTAATTTTTACCCATTGATCGTATTCTGACTTAAATTTTTCATTGACTTATAAGGTCAAGATTAAAACCTGTAAAGCGGAAAGGGCTAGATATCTCAAAAAAAGATGGCAAAATGCAATGTTAAACCCATCCTAGGTCACAGCTATTCAGTGTTGTGTTCCTTCTATGAAACAAAACAAGCCTTGTTCTCAACAGGTTGATAGACTTGGTACAGATACAAGGCAGCTTCAAACAGGTGACAGAAAAGTTGGTGGTCGTGATTATCTACTTTGTATGCAAAGTATTACTCAGTTATGTGTTTTATGATCTCTTAGGGCCCTGGAAAAGACTGGAAAACCACAGCACAATTCAACTTGAAATATGGTCCATCACTTAAAATGAGGAAAACCACTGCTTGCATCACCACAAGTAGTTCAACACCATCAAGCATGTGGTGATGATTGTATTAAAGGAACACATCAGATTGCTGAACAAGCATACCAGAAATTGTACAGTTTTGAATGTTATATTCTAGGGGTTTTACGACTTAATTAGGACTGTTAAGAATTTAGAATTATAAGAGGAAGAGTGGCAGTACTGTGGCAGAAGTCATCAATTAAAAAAACTGAAATATCAATCCAAATTCATGTTCATTATTACAGGACCAAAATGATAAGAACGTGACTGTTGATAGGGGTGTCAGATACTAAGTAACTGCATCACCATTCCAGCAGTACAAAAATTATGTAATAGGTCAGTGTTCTTAATTCATCATCATTAGTGGATCATTTAAAAAATCCACCTCCATTCCAGCTTTCCAATTGGTAGAGCATTGTACTAACAATGCAAAGGCTGTGGGTTCAAATCCCAGGGAAAGCAAATGACAAAAAATGTGTTCATTCGTTCAAATGTAAGTTGCTTTGGATAGAAACATTTACCAAATGCATAAATGTAATTGTAAAATTGAGCCAAAGTTGTTTTATGGATGGATGATAGGTCCTAAATAGTGTATCATTTGTAAATGGTTTGTTGGAATGGAAATCGGTTTAATCTGACTATTACCAAAAATATAATTTCACCCTGTTTAAAAAAAATAAAGTCCCATGTCATGCAATAACAGGAACCTTCATGTGTTGCTGTTAAATAGTTCCTAATCAGGATTCAAATCACAAAAAAAATCCCTGCAAGTTTCTTCTGCAAATAAAAGCATCATCTAAAAAGCTGACAAAAACTACACACATGCCACCCTTAATCTACCCTTTCACTGATACACACGCACACAGAACGTTTCTCAAGATTCCCTGGCAAATCCAAAAACTCAGCTGCTATATCTCTCCACTGCTTTGTAAACAAGATCAGTAAACCAGTGAAGAGATTACTGGTCGAAAAGAGCTCATTGGAAATCTTTCCTCTCAACTGAAACACTGAAGAGTGGAACCCAGAGCAGCAAACACCAAAACACAGACAGATCAAAATGACACTGCATGCCAAATTCACAACACAACACCCATCCATGTGGTAAGCAATCTGCTCACTCTGCTGAGTGACAACAGATTTACTGCAAAAAAAAACCCTGCCAGAAATAAAATCTGCAAAGCATTTTATTGACTGTTAAATGCCCCTGTTGCAGATTCACCAAAAATATTCCAGTCAGAATTTCTCTAAAAATAGATCAGCCTATAACAGTGTAATGAGAACCAAAGACAACATATCCCACCAATCAGAAACCTTTGACTCCAGCTGATGACTAATGAACATTCAAAATGTTATTGAATTAATAGAACCAAAAGCGGCTTGGGACGGAGGATCTGTAAACTGTGTTAATATATAGACTTTACGATCACTGAAGTTCACATTGGAACTGTGACACAGAAGTCATGGAAATAGATTAATCAGAGGCAATGAAAGTGATTCCACTGAGGGGCACTGACCGAGTTAGGATAGTTGAGATAGCAGATCTGACATGGCATGTCCTGTGCCGTTGATCTTGTGTTCATCAGGCGTGTACGAGACTTCTTACTAGGATTGATAACATGACACTCTGAAAACAGCTTATCCAGGTTACCATCAAAGTACCTGCAAAAAGATAAACAGATTCATCTCAAAATGTGCTGGTACAATACCTCTAAATAAAGACAGGTGCGAGCAGAGTAATAACCCAGGAAGAAAACGGCAGGAGGGCATTTACCTTTCCATAAGCTTTTCTTTGTCCCAGTTGAAATGACTAAGTAATATTCTAGTAATGGTGGCAGGATTCTGTAACAATAAACATGAGCATGAATGATTAAAAGATAAAATGAGGAAAAAAACATTCACTGGCCCAAGCAAGACTAAATGAACAATATAAGTCGTCAAATAAAAAACATTATAAAGACCAACAGTTGATGTACAGTACTGTTCAAAGTCTTATGTGGCAACTCTTATGCTAAGCAACTGATGCTTTCATTTGTCTGAAAATTTGAAAAATGTATTTCATCAACATATTTCCTTTCCTGCTTCTATGATCCTCGAAAATCTCGACACCCCATTCTGTTTTGAAACCTAAAAAGGACTGGGAGAGACCTTGTGGATGCAGGAAAACTACATTGTGTCTTGTTGCTGTGTTCAATCTTTCCATGACTAGAAACCAGTACTCAAAAATACAGAGTCAAAAATACTAAAACACCAGATTCAATGATCTAAGCTAAGCGATGTGTAAGAAATGTGTTATTTCTCAGACACATACTATGGCAGTTTAGATTCCAAAACAGTAAAACTCAACATGAAAATTCAGTAAAGTTTTTCAGTGTTCTTTTAAAGCAATAAAACAGAAGTTGAATCCAATGTATATATAAGTAATATTCACAGATGTAATTCATTACAACAAATTACATGATATATAACTGATTATGGTTGCAAAATTATTAGATAAAAAAAATACTAAAAACAGCTCACAGGCTTGCGATATGAAGGACAAGCACAAAGCTTTAGTGCTCCCAAGTCCATTGTATTTACACAACAGACTTTATGATCTTTGAGCAACAGCTACACCACAGAACTCCAAAAAGGTTATCTGGGATCATATGTCAATTTGCATATTGACAAGACACCCTGAAAGGGATCGGTTTCCGTTGCCATCATCATACTAGCTAAAACTTTAACCACCAATTATCATCTTATTAAACAGGAGTTATACATACACCTCTTATCTTTCTTTAGTTTTTTTTTTTATTCCTGTAAAAGAACCTAACTGTACACAATACATATTTTTGTAGAAATACTTAGAAAAACATATATAGACCAATAAAATCTTGAATATTGACTTTAGGTTGCTTTGACAAAATGAAGAAAACAATACTTGATTATTAAAATAATTGAAGGAAACACACACTACCTACTATTTATGACAATCTGTTGATTAAAGCACACATCGCCTAAAAAGGCATGTAGCAATGGTCAAGACAATCTACTGTGGCTCAAACTAAGCACCAGAATGGAGAACAAAGATAATTTAAGTGACTTCGAAGGTGGCATGGTAGTTTATGCCAGACTGGCTGCTCTGAGTTTTTCATAAACTGCTGATCTACTGGGATTTTCACTCACAAACATCTCTAGTGTTTACAGAAAATTGTCTGAAAAAGAGAACATATCCAGTAAACAGCAGCTCTGTAGGCACAAATAACGGTTGAAGACAGAAGTCAGAGGAGAAGGGCCAGACTGGTTTGAGCTGATCAAATACAACAGTAACTCAGCCATTCGTTAGAATCGAAGTTTTTGAACAACACATCAAAACTTAAGGCAGATGGGCTAAAGCAGGAGAGGACCACAACGTGTGCAAGTCCTGTCAACTAAAAACAGGAAACAGAGGCTACAATGTGCACAGGCTCACCAAAATTGGACAATAGAAGATTGAAAAAACTTCTGATGGGTCTCAATTTCTGCTGCGGCATTTGTGTGGTAGGCTCAGAATTTGGAGTCAACAACATTAAAAGTGTGGATCCATCCTGCATTGTATCAACAGTTCAGGCTAGTGGTGTAATACAGTGGGGGATATTTTCTAGGCACACTTTGGACCAATTAGTACTAATTGAGAATTGTGTCACCTTGCCTGCCTAAGAACCATTGCTGATCATGTTCAGCCCTTTATGACCACACTGTACCCATCTTATGATAATGTGCTATGTCCTAAGGTAGGGCTGGGCGATATGGACCAAAAGTCATATCCCGATATATTTAGGCTGAATATCGATATACGATATATATCCCGATATTTTTATCAAAAAGTGAGAGCAATTGTTTAGTCACAGTCAAACCCAAATATGACATTTCACAAGTAGTTTTATTTAAACTGGCCGGATGAAACAATACACAGCTGTTCCCTTGTTTTTGGGAATAAAATATAAATATATTTGAATACGCAAATAAAATATAAAAATCTAAAGTTTGTATAATGCTGTACATTCATAAATTATTAAAATATTCAATGCTGTAAGCAACTTAGGCGATTGCATTCTTTTAAACTTTTTAAACAATATTTATAGTTTTACAATGTGTTACAAGTAAATTTGACATCTACGCGGCATATAAGCAAAATAAAAAATAAAACTTTTTCACGAGTAAACATTTTATGTGAACTCTCATTGGCATAGTCTGTGTAATCACGTGATTGAATGCGCGTTCACGCAAGAGGGGAGTCGGAATCTGCCGGGGAGTCGAAATATGGCACAACAACGGTACACCGTGGGAAAATGAAGCTTGAAGAGAGCTTTGTGTCGGGGCTGAAGCTTTTGCGGGTTGCGGTTGGCTTGCAGCTGGGGCCTCGGCAGCGCGCAGTTTCACACACTCTTCATACTGCAGTTTGTGCCACTGTTTTAGATGGTAAAAAAGATTTGTAGTGCTTCCATCCCTGGCTGTAACTTCTTTATGGCACTCCCTACATATGACATGGTTTTGTTTCTCATCAGAAACTTTGAATCCGAACCATCTCCATATTACTGAGCCGCTACTTTTTTGTTTACCAACTAATTTCTCCGCATGCTCAGCAGATGTTGTTGCTTCCTCCATGTTTGTTGAAGAGTGCCGGCGGATTGTCTGCTCCAGAGTCCAGCCCCTCCCCTCTCTGTGCCTGAAAGAGGAGGGGCGTGGCCAGGGGCGCGCAAAGTAGTGCTGAGAGCTCCGGGTTAAAGCAGTTTGCTGGAGCAAGGCTCACAGCGCAGTTTGAACTACGTAGCCTATATCGATATATGCGATATGGTCAAATTTCATATCTCGTTTAAAAATATATCGATATATTTTTAATATCGATATATCGCCCAGCCCTATCCTAAGGCACAGATATGGTTCCTTGAACATGACAATGAGTTTAATGTGATCAAAAAGTCTCCACAATCTGTGTGACACCACCATGTAAAATGGACCAAACTCTCTGCGGAATGTTTTCAGAACCTTTCGGTACTTCATCTATGCCATGAAGGATTAAGGCAGCTCTGAATGGAGAAGAGGGTGCAAGATGTTACTATCAAGGTGTCCCTAATAAAGTGGCTGGTGAGTGTATTTTATGCCCTCTAGAACTCACTTAGAATGGGGTCAGTGGTATTTCAGGATAGTTTAAAGGGCTAGACAGAGTAGAGCTGTTTTTTGAAAATGTAAAAATAATGTCACTTAAAAGCACCATTGACAAATGAATTGAATTGTCACATCTAACGTCCACTTCACAAATGAATTTATAGAGCATTCTCGAACAACTGCACATCAGACATGAGTCAAAGTGAACTCTGTGTCTCCAGAAAACTTAGCTAATAATACTAAATAAACACAGAATCACCAGGACACTGAGCATAAACAAACCAGACAAACAACACGTTACAAGTGAATGTGTATAGCTTGGCGACAAATAA